GTGAAAGGTCAAGTTGGTAGTATTCTAATGAATTCTAGAAATCGGTCCACAGTATCACAGTTTGCTATCATGTAAGCATTGATTTATGACGAAAAGCAGCCCTGCAATGTCTATTCTCGTCCGTTTGGGGCCTCAATTGATGTTTCAGAAAAATATGAATGGAGGCGAATATGCGAGTCTCTGGTTCTTCTAGATGAAGACGCGGTCACCATGAGCTAGGTGGTACGAATCTGATCCGACATTAACCCTGCAATAGCTGCAAAATGTTCACGTATTGTTGGGACTCGCACCTGCTTGTAAAATCCGATGGGTTATTTTACGAGTTAGGACAATTAGACCAACTAATCTAATGTTAAAGTTATCGCTTCTTCAACAAGAACGTGTGCCTCACATATTTACCTCCATTCATTCGCATTTTGGGCGTAATGCGCTTCGCACAGCGCGCAACTGGAATCCTTTCTTCACATGAGAGGCAGCAACATATGGCCACCAATGCTTTCTACACAAACCTGTTTACGTGGCGAGCTGATGCCGAAGAGTCTGCGTTACTAAGCTCCAGTTAATACAAATTTGGACGGAAGCCTTACACGAGGCTTTCGTAAGCAAATGACTAAATTGCTAATTAACGACAACCACCTGCGCTTCCGCAAGTAGAGAGGTGTAATTGAGGGCATTGATTTTCGAAAATGTTGCTGATCACGCATGTGATTATGTTACTCGGAAGCAGTGAGTAGTCATACATGTTTACTTTACGAAGCAACCAACGTCTGCTAGATTTTTGTCCGTAACAATATAAACGACCTTTTTTGAAATTTTCGGCTGTGTTCATGCATTTAATAGCTGCTGCATACCAGTAGGGAGTTCAAAGGCATTTGCCTATATTTCACTTAATAAACCTAAGCTGACCTCACCTCCACCGAGCGGTATCCGCTTTGACAAAACCAACACAGGAAATAAAGTGCACGATGTTTGACCGAACATGCAGCACAACGAAACTCGGAGACCCAATACAACGAAAGTATGGTGCACAGCCTACCACGTAAACACTGAAAAGAACAGAAATGATAGTCGTGGGTCATAAAATACGACGGATGCTAAACCAACCAACTTAATCACCGTGCTTGAGGCTATGAAAGGCAAAAGATGAGGCTAAGCACACTGTGCAAAAAAATGCCACTTCTATACTGACGACAAATAGGCGGGCTTATGCAAAGTCGACCGAAAAAATCGAAGCAATTATTAAATTAAACATAGACAAGGATATTTTAGTTCAGGCAGCTGCAAAGGAAGGACAACCAGAGTGATGAACCGCGTCGGTCGGCTAACCAGACACCTTAACCGAATCAGGCACCATATAATAATTTCGATCGAATTATGATGGCAGAATAAACCAACTGACATAGCACTAGCAAGGTGCTGTGGATTGCCAAAAATCCACAGCCCCGGCGTTCCCCTGCGGCCAGTTGCCGCCCTGAAATGCAGCCTCCTGGATAGCTTGA